GTTCTCAGCGTTAGTCAAATACCACGTTTGGTATTCTAAAGAATTATACGCCTCGTTTTTATTCATGCAAAGATTTTCTTTGTTTCCAGTTGCCAGAAGGGGCGGAACTCACGCTGGCTGAGCTCCGCGAGATGGCAGCACGACAACAACAACAAATCGAGGCTCAACAACAGCTTCTCGTGGCCAAGGAACAACGTCTAAAGTTCTTGAAACAGCAAGAAGTGCGACACCACCAGGGGGTTCAAACGACAGAAGGAGACCGGCTGCGACACTTGCGTGAAAGGGTGGAAGGTCAGGAGCAGAAACTTCGCCGATTGAGGGCGCTGCGCAACCAAGTGGACCAACAGCGGGTGAACAATGGTAACCTAGGTAAGTTGGTTACTAGTCGCTGTTTGTAATTATAAATATAATTACTTTGTTTAAATTTATTTGTTGCTTCTTCTCTGTCCAAACAAGTTGTAAGGATCTTGCTTCAAGGTTTGTCTTAATTTTAATTGTAAAGCATTCTACGAGAGAGCGCTTTATGTGTTTATCGTTTCAAGTGAAATTCGGTGTTTTTTCGTCTTGGTTATAACTGTTTAAAGAAGAAGGTTGATTGATTGATTGGAATTAAGCACAAAGCTACACAAAGAGCCATCTGTGCTCTTCCCACCACGGGTATCGAAACCCAGATTCTAGCGGTGTGAGGCCGCAGGTATACCGCTGTGCCACTGGGGGGCAAAGAAGAAGGACTTTATCATTTCTGGTATTACTTTTTCTGATACAATTCTCATGAAATTGGGCACGTCGTGTTTTAACCATTATGTCAGGAAACTTCGCATTTGAAGCCAACACGGAATTAATTGACTGATTAGATTCACCTAATTATTGTATATCGTACAGTTGTAACTTTGTCTTAGTAAAGTTGTAATTTGGTCGATATTTTGCTCCTCTAACTCTTGTCACCAGCGTCAATCCCCTGTCCATTGCAACCATCCCTGGCCACATATTTCTTGAAATGAACCATGGACTGAGTGTGTGAGAAAGAGAGATATTGACCAGTCTATTTATTGTCCCTTGGAAACTGAAATGAAACCTGTCACAACAGTTTTCAATGTTCCTGCGTACATTGTTAATCGCACCTGTAGTGCTGTAAGTATTTATTGGGACCTGTCTCCTATGTTTGTTTGTACCCCAGAAATATTCAGCAGTATCCCAAGAAATTTAATTAGTCTCTGTCCAGCAATGTAGCACTATAATGCCAATAAGTTTTCAATGTCCAGTTAACCTACATTGCATGTTAAGCTTACAGATATGTAACTTTGTTTTTTTTTTATCTCATAAAGGTTTACCTTTAGAAACATGAATGTTTTGTATTGTTCTCCGCGTCCGTCTATGTTCGGACTGGATTGTTGATCTTTGATCATTTTAGCATTTTATTCTTGTTTTTCGTTTATTACATATAGTAATATATCTAAACAGAATGTTGGATCATTTAAAACACTGTTAATCCTCAACTGACCGACTTGTTTCTAATTAGTTTTTATTACCGGCGGGGTTCACATTGAACAATTTTACGTTTGTGCCTGTCATAACGTTTAGTGGAAAGAACTGACCCAAAAACTGGGTAATATCAACAGAAGTCTTGTTTATGTTTTTTATCATTCATATTTTATTAGAGATGTGATTACAGGATCTCAACAAATCGATAGTTTGGAAAAAATATATTTAAATATCCAAAGGGACCATGGTTTACACATAGGTTTCTTTAGCACTTGGTAGTTGATATTTACATGGTTTACACATAGGTTTCTTTAGCACTTGGTAGTTGATATTTACATGGTTTACACATAGGTTTCTTTAGCACTTGGCAGTTGATATTTACATGGTTTACACATAGGTTTCTTTAGCACTTGGCAGTTGATATTTACATGGTTTACACATAGGTTTTTTTAGCACTTGGTAGTTGATATTTACATGGTTTACACATAGGTTTCTTTAGCGCTTGGTAGCTGACAACACTCTACAAATCTCTCTTAGGCTTTTTACTTGAATTCTTCTTTGTTTTTTTTGATCAAGTATCAAAAAAAACGTAATTGACGTTTTTAAACGGTTTTTTCTTCCAATTAACAAGAAACTCTCTTGCTGTGTGATAAACATTATCGATATTGTCGTTTTCCGTCACAATATGAACAGAGGAGATCAATCAACTCTCTGTAACAATCACAATTATGTTAGGAAACACTGGGCTCGGAAATTTAATGAACAGAAGCGTTCATTTTTACAACTGATCAGTAACGATGACAGTGTACGCGACTTGTAACATGCAATGTTTTATATCGGTTCTCGGCGATAGATAGAAATTTACCGGAGACATAATAAAACAGCTTAAAGGTTTGGGTAAACATAAAGCGATGGGTGAATGATACAGTGAACATAGGGTTATGAAAAAAAGGTTAGGGAAACATAAAGCGATGGGTAAATGATACATGAACACAGAGTTATTGGAAAAGGTTAGGGTAAACATAAGGCGATAGGTGAATAATACAGTAAACATAGGGTTAGGAAAAACATAAAGCGATGAGTGAATAATAAAGTAAACATAGGGTTAGGAAAAAAGGTTAGGGTTAACGTAAAGCGATGGATGAATGATGCAGTAAACGTATGATTAGTTAAAAAAGGTTAGGGTAAACATAAAGCGATGTGTAGATGATACACGAACGCAGAGTTATGGAAAAAGGTTATGGTAAACATAAGGCGATGGGTGAATGATACAGTAAACGTAGGATTACGTTAAAAAAGGTTAGGGTAAACATAAAGCGATGTGTAGATGATACACGAACGCAGAGTTATGGAAAAAGGTTATGGTAAACATAAGGCGATGGGTGAATGATACAGTAAACGTAGGATTACTTAAAAAAGGTTAGGGTAAACATAAAGCGATGTGTAGATGATACACGAACGCAGAGTTATGGAAAAAGGTTATGGTAAACATAAGGCGATGGGTGAATGATACAGTAAACGTAGGATTACTTAAAAAAGGTTAGGGTAAACATAA